GGGCTTGGGTGCTCTCAGGAGTGGGTGCACCCCACAAAATCATTAAGGGGTCTATACACGTTATTACGCTCACATTGCATATTTCCACCCTTACTATAGTATTTTAAGATGTGCGGGTTCCCTGTGCTTTTTAGTTTTGGGYTTCCTTTAGCGAATCCATGCCATATATGGAMACAAAMAAAATGGCSGATTGTTGAGAAGTGTTTTCGCTATAATATCTGCAAGTTTCAGACGATTTCAAGCTTTAAAAGTCGAGAAAATTAACAAAAACCATTCCTATCGTACTTCCAAATAARGTAAGATTACCATATATGGCTGCTAAACGAAGGACAACCTTTGTGGGGCAATTCTTTGATATGTATTGTATTTAAAGCTGCTTACCAGTTTSGCAGTATCTGCCCGTGTATCCCGGTGMACACCTGCAAGTATARCGATTTACTCCATCGACACACGTGGCTCCGTTCAGACACTTGTTATCCTTGCAATCATCGATATCTACGGAGAAAACAAATTAAATACAATTTGAAATTCTCGAATTTACATGTAAAAACCTTTTCACACACTTAATCAATGGAAAATGGTTATCGACGACGGGCGATAATGTCGAAAACAGCTAAAAAAACAGCTAAAAACCTCCGACATGTATGATTCATTTTAACTCGAAGATTGCGCTAGCGATCAAAGAGTAATTGTAGGGCGAATATCTATTACTCACTCACTCGCTCACTCATCCACTCACTCGCTTTCCTGTTAACTGTCAATTATTATGTCTGTGAAAAAAAAAATGAACCCACTTATTTGGCAGTCTACTCCATTATATCCAGGTAAGCATTGACAGACATAGTGATTAACTTTATCAAGACATGAACCGCCATTTTGACAGGGATCAGAACTGCAGTCGTCGATATCTGAAAAGAAGAGCTCATCATTGACAAAATAGAACACTTAATCATGAACAAAAGAACTCTTGATCAATAAAAAAGAGCTCTTGATCAACAGAAAAGAACACTTGAT